CCCCCCCAAAAAAGTATCATAATTTTTAAAAACGTGCTTCTCTTAAAGGAAGGACAGCCACAGACCACAAATAAATCAACTCACCGATTGTTAAGTCATGCACGGGTTGAAAGCGTTTGTCAGTGAACTGCAACAGAAGACATGACTTCCCAACACCTAAAGTCATTATTACGAACCAAATCGTTAAGTCAAAGGAAAGTGAACTTTGAACTGGGAAAATGAACAAATGGTGTAAAAAATTTGTGAAAAAACAAGCTGTATATATTTCATGTGAAAACCCCACAGTCTTTAATAGACTAAATTCTTAAACATCAGCTAATACGCACGTAACTAATGTACCAAAATATGCACTATGAGTTTTATTAACGAAAAAACGTTCGATAACCTCAGTCCTATAGCATTAAAAAAAAAAGACTAAAATAAATGAGTGCAAAACTCTGCAAATTCAAGGCCTTCGGTCAAACCAAACCTGATACCTGTATCTCCGATTATGATGTACTTGAATAAATATGCATATGACATGCTTGAGATCTGTAGGCGAGAACTTCTTCACTAAACTTAAAAAAAACAGTAATGACAAATTAAAAAATGCGATACCCGAACGAAACAAAGAACGCCTTTTGAGCTCGAACACATTCCTACCCAAACCCCAAATCTCTTGGAAATTGTGTCATCAGGCAGGAACAGTGATAAAGTTACGAAATTAAGTTCAGTATATATGGCATGTACTGTCAGCGGTCAAATTCAACATTACGCCCGAACTGCAGTACATTACGGGATAACATAACGATCAGTTTCAGCTGATAAAACGACAACAACAGCTCGTGGTCCAAATGACTTCGAACGATATACAAATAACAAGATAAAAAAAAAACTTGACAATCTAAAGAGCCAGTCCAAAAAATGACTGTCGGAAAAATTATAATGCGCTTTCATAGATTTAACTAACTCTCTTCCTTTCCACCGTACAGCCGTTGCCCTGTACCGCCAAAATACAACCATTTCTGTAACAAAAGTGGAACTGGCGAAAGTAAGCTGCGAAAAGCAATGTCTTCAATCAAAAACAAAGAATAGCAACGATACGCGCGAGCCCTGCCACCAGACTTTTCTTATC